CAAAGAAGAAAATGGGAAGCGGTTCCTCTTTATCTAAGAAACTTGTAAAGATATAGCAGAGTCATCCGAGGGATGAAAGAAGCGAGAAGGTGCAGAAACAAGAAATGTAATTGCCATGAGGAACAAATTGTTGATGTAGAATTGTGTCCCCAGCACCTAGTATCAAGCTCATCATTGGTACCCAACAAATATATGATGGATGAGGCAAAATGGAAGTTATAAAATCAAGAGTGTAACAGAAATCAAAATATAATTTTGGGCCGGGTACAGTGGCTCACGCCTGTAATCCCAGCACTTTGGGAGGCCGAGGCGGGCGGATCACGAGGTCAGGAGTTCAAGACCATCCTGGCCAACATGATGAAACCCCGTCTCTACTAAAAATACGAAACTTAGCTGCGAGTGGTGGCGCATGCCTGTAATCCTAGCTACTTGGGTGGCTGAAGCAGGAGAATTGCTTGAACCAGGGAGTCGGAGGTTGCAGTGAGCCGAGATCATGCTACTGCACTCCAGCCTGGTGACAGGGCAAGACTCCATCTCAAACAAACACATAATTTTGTCTTTTAAATATCCAAACAAAAATTACAGATTTAATATCACATGCCATTTATGTATATAAATTGCTCAGATGTAAAGAAAGGTTAAGCTTGCAAACCACGATGTCCAAGAAATCTCTTCTCAATGTTCTAAAACCTTTCTATTTATGAACTGATAAATATCAAGGCATGTTCTTTTCCAGATCAGTCTTATATAATTTGCTGCCCGTCAGGATCTAGGAGATATTACATGGTTGGAATATCAGGTTTTAGTTTAAAGTATGATAAATATATTTGTATTGAAAACTATTTAAGAAATTTTGCTAAATTCACATTTCTTAAACTTTTACTCATATATCCCACATCATAGTGACACAAACAGAACATACTTGAAACAAGGGCTCAGAATACTAAGTATTAACTCCACAAGTATTATTACTACCTAAATAATGATAAAAATCAGGCCTGGTGAAATGCTTAGGAGGCAAAGTCAGGATCACATTATCGAAAACATTTATGTTTTGCCCAAATGGTCTCTTAAAAAACACAAATTTCTAGAAAAGTAAATTTTCAAATCTGTAAGTCTTGTTCCCCATTTATTTTTTTGTTGTGATTCAGAAATACAAGTATGAAAATTAGGTTACAATTCTGCCACAAAAGCTTCTAAAGTAGCAAACACAACTTTTATTGTGTATCAAAATAGCCATGTGCACTTTTATCAATTAAAAAGTCTTCAGAGTTATCACATCAAGCAAGTGTAAAATATAATAGCGACTATCTCCCCTTCAAAATTGCAAATCCACAGTTACTGCACTGAAGTATAATCCAAACAAGATTTAGTCCAGAATATGGAAGGTTCTGGTTGGCAGGTACTTTTTAAAGCTGACTTACTAAGAACTAAAAGAAATGAGAAATATACAAAGCATCTTATGTCAAAGAGTATGAATATTTAAAAGTGGCCTCAAGTGAGTAACACATGTTTAAATTAGAACATGATGTAATTAAAAGTTTATATAATTTAGCAAAAAATATATATATAATTGCTTTCTTCTAGAAAGACATAAAATTCTTTGAACTGAAACAGTATTACCAAAATGTTTTCATCATCTAAATACTAGAAACAATATCTCAAAATTTCACTTGCAATGATCAGTAATATATGGTTTAACAGATCCAGATAAAGATTTTTTTTTCTTTTGTTTTGAGACAGAGTCTCGCACTGTCACCGGGTTGGAGTGCAGTGGCGCAATCTTGGCTCACTGCAACCTCTGCCTTCTGGGTTCAAGTGATTCTCCTGCCTCAGCCTCCTGAGTAGCTGGGACTATAGGCGCCCGCCACCACGTCCGGCTAATTTTTTGTATTTTCAGTAGAGACGGGGTTTCACCACATTGGCCAGGCTGGTCTTGAACTCGCGACCTGATGATTCACCAGTCTCAGCCTCCCAAAGTGCTGGGACTACAGGCGTGAGCCACTGTGCCCGGCCCAGAGAAAGATTTATAACTAAATATATAGAAAAGAATAATTCCCATGATTTTGTTTTTGTAAAAAGAAATAAAGATTGCTTTCTATATATTTTTCAATATGAAGTCCTTGAACATATTTGGGGATTTTTTATGGCTGAATGTTAATTTTTTAATTTTTTAATATACTTACAAATACATTATAATAAAATAATACAACCAAATCAAAAAGCAGCCACTTGAAAACTGAAATTCACAAAATGAGCTGTTCTTGGCTACATACAGAAAACCAGCATTTAAACTGAATTATAATGAAACGTTTACTGCCATAGGTAATATTTACCCACTTCTGGGTCCAACAGAAGGTGCTGAATCAATGTGATCCTTTAAAAACAAAGTCACTAGTTTCCATAACAATCATACTCAGGGTTGTTGTTTTTTTTTTTCTTCACCCAGCAGGAAAACAAGTTGTTCAAGCATTGAACCAAAAAATATAAAAAAAAGAATTTGCCTTGTAATATTTCCATGTTTTGGATGAACTCAGCCCACTGTGTGCGGCTGCTTAAATGCTTACACCACCTTATCCAAAACCCTTTGCGCTGATGTGTTTTAGAATTCATAACCTTTGGGGTTTTAAAAAGGCAACATGGGCATATTTTGAATATTACAAAACACCTCCACGGCATCTAGGGGAATACCTAGAATCAAATCCATGGATATTTCTTCAGGGAAAATTAACAGTCACAATGGAGTAGCATAAAAAAAAAGTACAATACTCTCACATCAGTTCAAGTCAGATTTTGCTGCCAAATGAATTACGGTATCAAAATCAGAAAAACACAAACCAACTTAGATTTCAAAGTTTTTTGGTAAGGGACTGTAGCCCTTTAACATCTCTGACAAGGAAATTTCTTCTCTGACATGATGGTCTCTACAAATCTGCTCTCATATTTCAATGGAAATTGGGATAGGGACAATTGTCTTCTACCCCAAAACAGGGGCTCTTAACAGGCTCTCTTAAATTTATTTGGGTAGATTACCATCTCACTGGAAGCGACAGGTTCTATGAAGATAATTTGAAAAAAATATATTGAAATAATTATTTAGTTAATGTTATTAAACCAGACACCTTCTTGGACTAGATTCTAATATAGATCAGCAGTAGAAGGTGCCAACGTTCGAGGAACATTTATGAGAAAAGAGTAAAACTGAGAAACATCCAGACATTAATGCAATTGTTTTCTGCAAATTATAAAAAGCTATGATTCCATTTGAGCAGCTGCACAATGCAACTCAATATAATCTGCAAACTTCGGCTCTGTAAGACTGAAAGATTTATGAAACCATTTTGGCATCAACCTATCCTTATAAGCTGCAATGAATCATTCCAAGCAATTAATACACTAAATAATAATTTCTTCTGTATCTATCAGTGTTTAAAATATGCTATTCTCAGATCTTAATAAAAAGATACCATGGGTTAAAGCCATGAAACATCTTATTTTTTAAAAAGTTAAGTCACTTAAAGTCAAGAGCTTCAAAAACTCAAGAGCAAAAAAAAAGGTTTGCAATAATTTTTAGGTCTTCAATTTTTGTATAGAGTTTTTATGTGTTTTAAGTTTTATTTTACAATTTAAGAAAGTTTTCTCTTCAAAAACAGAGGTCTTTTTTCACTGAAGTGATTTGGAATGTGCTACCATATATGCAAGGAAGATGGGTTACAATATCAAGGTGAAGGCAGCTCTCCTCAAGTCAGAGGAGTGCGAACAACCAGCAGGATGCAACGGGGAATGCTGGCTAAAACTCATCAGAGACACCTGCTGTCAAAATCCACTAATGAACACAGATCCTATAACCTGGAAACAACATTCAGGGGCCAAGAGGGTTTCCAGGGCTACAGAGTTACGAGTCATGAGTGGGCTTCCTTAGCACGTGGTATGAAGATAATGTCTGCGGGCTCAGTGGGAGAGTCACATAAAGAACAGGTGATCATTTTATTTCAAAAGCGACTCTCTTCAAAATCAGCCTTGTCTTTTTTTCTTAATGAGTAAATTTTAAACCATCATCAGCCTTTCCTAAAAGCTACATATATGCTCTGAGAAAAATGTCACACTTTTTAATTTTTTCATTTGTTTTAATTAATTCATGAATTAAGTTAAAAAGTCAAGTCAAAAATTTTAGCTGGTCTTTTTTTCCCTTTTTTTTTTTTTTTTACAAAAATATTACAGCGGTATAAGCAAAATTGGAAAGGAAGAGATGGAAAGAACAAGTAGATGCTAAAATGGAATAGGTGAACTTCAGGTCATCATGGTTACTGAAGGAACTGTAAATTCTTAGGCTTCTAGATTTTACTGCTCTTCAGAAAACATTTAAGGAGGCTGCCTTTCCCCATGAATGAGAAATGAAACGTTACCCTAAGCATTTGAGTCTAAAGAAGACAAGAAAGCATTGCTTTTCCTACTGGAAAGTATCTCTTTAGCTCCCATTGCACTGCCCTCTCCCGTCCCCCTCACAGCTTCATGGGATCAAAGAGAGAGAGAAGCCATGCGTTTCCACCAGCAGCAGAGTGAGTCCTGAGCACAACACAGGGCTGTCAGTGACATTCAGACTCACTGGCAATGGGTCCAAGTCATCCTGAATAAAATACACCAAGAAAGAAAGGAAAGAAAGGAAAGGAAGGAAAGGAAGGGAAGGAAGGGAAGGAAAGGAAGGAAGAAAGGAAGAAAGGAAGAAAGGAAGAAAGGAAGAAAGGAAGAAAGGAAGAAAGAAAGAAAGAAAGAAAGAAAGAAAGAAAGAAAGAAAGAAAGAAAGAAAGAAAGAAAGAAAGAAAGAAGAAAGAAAGAAAGAAAAGAAAGAAAGAAAGAAAGAAAGAAAGAAAGAAAGAAAGAAAGAAAACCCTAGAAACTCAAAGTTGTTTTTTATGGAAGGTTTAAATGAAGTCCTCAAGATTTCTTTATGTGCCATAAAGTACATTTCTGGACTTAATCTCTAGGGGGGCAAAAAAGAATAAATAGAAAACAATTTAATGATCATTCTGGAATCCTATTCTTTACCTTGTTCACATGGTATTAATTCTCATACCTTCACTTCTCTACCTCAAAGCCTAGAAAATCAAATGGTCTCCTATTCCATATTTGCATAGTATTAATAATATTGTCAGGAGGTGGACTTCTAGCCCCTTGCTTGCAGCCACATTTCTGAAGAGCACTGGTCCAATCTGACACATTTGAAAACAATATATAAGTGTCTATAGGCCAAAAATTGGGTCCCATTTAGCAGCAAGCTGTTCAAATTATTTGGAAACAGTCTTCTTCCAAAGGGTGAGAAGAATTAGGCAGTTTTGTCTGCAATTTCAGATTTTTCTCTCTGCATCATGCAGCGACGAACTATGCTGTCAAAACTTCCAAGGTAAAACAAAGCAATAGTGCGGAACAGGCCCATGGTGACCACCTGCAAGATAAAGAGAGAGCTTTTAGTGCATCCAACGGTACAAGACTATTTCAAGGTACCTAGGTCTCTAATAAATAGTTTCTAAGACACATCTTCTAGTCTGCTCTAAGGATGAATATAATGAAAACTCTGTAAATGTCAATAAGCTGTGAGAACAGAATGTGTGTGCTCTGCACCGCTGGACAGCCCAGATACATAACAAAATATTTGTTCAATTAATAAATTCAAACCACAAGCAGAACAAAATAGGTATTGCTCACAGTCTTAGGGTTATAATAGCTTAAAAAGATCCACTCCAGCATCTTGAATAGCCAAACTACAATCAAGGCTTTTTTGGTTTGAGATTTATGTTCTGAGCGTGAAAGCAAGACCCTATACTAGGTGCTGAGAACACTGTGGTGACAGACACAGTCCCTGCCCTCAGTGAGCTTATTCTCAGGCTGGAAAAACAAGTAAAACTGAAACTACTGCCTCAGGGTTGAGAGCTGTGATTACTGATACCCTGTTGCTCAGGATGGAGTGCAGTGGCATGAACATGGCTCACTATAGCTTTGACCTCCCGAACTCAAGGGATCGTCCTGACTCATCCTCCCAAGCAGCTGGGACCATAAGCATGAGCCCCCGTGCATAAGAGAACAGAAAAATCACTGTTTTTTTCCCTACACCCTCAGAGTACTGAACCCAGTCCTTGGATCTTCTGGAAGAAACAATGTTTAAGATAAGACCTGAAGGAAGATTAGAAGTTGGCAGGACATAGAGAAGATTCCAGAAAGAAGAGGACGGGTAAAGAAAGAAAAAAACAGAGCCTGGAAAGGTAAGTGGGGTAGGAGATCAGGTGGCTTATGGCATGCGATGGAAATGTTTTTAATTTTTAAATTCTTTTTAGAGACAGGGTCTTGCTCTGTCACCCAGGCTGGAGTGCAGGAATATGATCATAGCTCACTGTAGCTTCAGACTTCCAGACTCAAGCAGAAGTCTCCCAGTTGCTAGGAATACAGGCACACACCACCACACCGGGCTTTCTTATTCTTTTACATGTTTATGTAGAGACAGGGTCTCAGTATGTTGCCCAGGCTGGTCTCAAACTCCTGAGCTCAAGCAATCTTCCCAACTCGGCCTCCCAAAGTGCTGAGATTATAGTCATGAGCCACCATGAATTTTTAAAGCTTTATCCTGATGGTATCAAGGAGCCACTGAATGTTTTCATGCAATGTATAGTTGCAGTTCAGAAACAACTGGTGTGGAAAATGGGAGGGTACACTCAAACACATCCAGGGGGCCTGGGCAGGGGGTTGCAGACCATAGTGGTTGCAGGGACTGTGCTCCTCCCTCAGGAGCAGCTGCCACCTGCGCTTGCTGATGACTGCCAGGTGAGAGTGCAGACGCTGTGCAGCTAAACCTTCCGATTTTCCAAGAAAAGTCTGAAATCTGGACCTTTTATATAAAACCGAAATTAAAAACTATTTTAAAATCTTAAACACACATACTCATACCAGATGGACCAAACAAAACTGCTTTACAGGCCCATGGGAATCATTTACAACCTCTGGCTCAAAAAGTGTATAACTCAGGCAGGAGGCCTGCTGTGGCAACCCAGGCCTGGGCTCCCGAAGCACTGCCAGAACTGCAGAGAATGGAAGCATCTGAAGAACAGAGTGACAAGGGTGACAATGATCTCTGATGTGAGGGACAGAAGCAGGGGAGTCCGGGACAACACCCCAGGTGTGAGCCACTATGCCAGCCCAAAAATTAAAAAATAAAAGAATTCATGCATTCGTTCAGCTCAGGTATTCTGGAGTTCCTACTAAGTGCCAGGCACTGGCTGTTAGGCGTACAATGGCAAACAAGAGGTGTGGGCCCCGTCCTCAAAGAGCTTACATCTAACAGTGTCAACCTCTAAGAGAATGGCAAGACAGTAGGTATATTACAGAGTGAAAAGAAAAGAGGGCTTGGGAAAGACCCTGAGGAAAACCAACAACTAAGTCATTTATATAAGTCTGAATACGGTCAACTGCACAGAACTTAGTACTTGTTAACAACTATCCCATGGCTTTGTCTTTCCAGAACATTCCCTCTATTGTAATCCTTACTACATTACACTACACTACTATCATCTTTGATTTTTTATTTATTAATTTATTTTTTTGAGACAGAGTTTTGCCCTTGTAGCCCAGGCTGGAGTGCGGTGGCATGACCTCGGCTCACTGCAACCTCCACCTCCCGGGTTCAAGTAATTCTCCTACCTCAACCTCCTGAGTAGCTGGGATTACAGGCGTCCACCACCATGCCCAGCTAATTTTCATATTTTTAGTAGAAACAGAGTTTCACCATGTTGGCCAGGCTGGTCTCGAACTCCTGACCTCAAGTGATCCACCCAGCTCAGCCTCCCAAAGTGCTGGGATTACAGGCGTGAGCCACCGCGCCCAGACTACTATCACCTTTAAGGTCAGTGCATTCCACTTGACTGTAAGCCCCTGAAGCTGGAGAGGTCGCCTTCCATCTGATTCCCCATGAGCAAGTACAGTACCTAGCACGCCAATGAAACACTAACTGTGTATCTTGGACAAAATAATAAATTCCCATAAGCGCAGCAATTGTGTTTAATCCATGATTTGTATCTCACTAAATTTAGCTGTGTGTGACCTGATTCACCTAGAAAAGGTTTTCTAGTCTAATATCTCAGTACTTTTTAAGCAAGGCCACCCCTTACTCTAGGAGTATTCCATTTTTTAAAACACATTGGAGCACTGGTTCTTAGGTTAAAATCCAGGTTAACACCTCAATAGCAGAGACGGTGTTTTATTTCTCTATCTGCAAGGCCCAGCACTGATGACTTCTTGCCAGTCTAAATTCCTGAAGTTATATCTTTAACCTGAAGTTATATATTTACTCATTCCCGGTGGAGGAAGAGGAAAAGTTGATAGCTCAATAAAAATACATTCTCTAAATAAAGTTACTCCGCTTTCCCTTAATCTCTTCTCATCAAGGTTTGATGAAAGGCAGTTTTTCTCTTGTCCATCGGCCTATCTGACTGCTAGCCTAGGCAGAGCTTACCTGCTGGAGCCCCTCAGTAATAGAAGTTACTGGAGCCATCCCACAGGTCAGGGCCGAGAGCATGTACCCATCGGAGCCAAGGGAACTGTTGAAATTTCCTTGCTAAAAGAGAAGGAAAAGAAGAGAAAAAGGGAATCCCAGTAATGTAGACAGAAATCAATCCGACGCATCAGAAACAGTGGAGTGTGCTCGTTCACTTTAAGTGAGATAAAATGGTCACAAAGCATTGATCAGCACTCAGAAATGGACGCAGGGCCTTGGCAGATGGACAGTTCTCAACAAGTGAGTCCATGGACCCCTGTGGGCCCCCGAGGACAAATGATTGTCCTAATAACACTAAGACATTCATTCTCTTTTCCACAGTGTGATGTATGGAAAATACAGTTTTGCCTCTGCCAAACTGCAGACATGGGCTAAAACCACGGTGTTCTGGCCAAACTGTACTAGGAGTCACTGTCATCGGTACTACCACACACACTCGCAGGAATAAATAATACACAAAGAAAATGCAAGTTCTAAAATTCTTTTAAAAATCAAAAAGTGTCAGTTTTGCTTTAAAATCCTCTTGATAAAGCAGCAAAATCCATCATTTTGTTAAATGGCAACCCTCGAGGACATGTCTTCTTAATACTCCGTGTGACAAATGAGAGCACGCCCAATGCGCTCCCGCGGCACTGCATTCCAGAGGGGGACAACTGCCTGGAACAAAAGCCCTTATGCAGCTGCTTACGTCGAGGGCTAAACTGCCACTTCTTTTATGGAGCGTCATTTTTATTTTTTATTTATTTATTTTTGACAGAATCTCACTCTGTGGCCCAGGCTGGAGTGCAGTGGTGTCATCTCTGCTCACTACAACCTCTGCCTCCCAGGTTCAAGCAATTCCCCTGCTTCAGCCTCCCAAGTAGCTGGGATTACAGGCATGTGCCGCCACACCCGGATAATTTTTGTATTTTCAGTAGAGATGGGGTTTCACCATGTTGGCCAGGCTGGTCTCAAACCCTGAGCTCAAGCGATCCACCTGCCTCGGCCAGCAAAAGTGCTGGGATTACAAGCGTGAGCCACCGTGCCTGGCTGGAGAGCATAATTTTTATATGAAAGACCATTGACAGGAAATCCTTGGTTGTTCAGACTTAGGTATGTGGCAGATGTGCAGAAAACAACAAAAGCAAGCGTGTCACTTCAGGAAAAACAACTGGCCACATGTGTCATCAATGTTAGAATCTGAGCCTTCAAGAAAAAATTAAGATTTGGAAAAACTAGTATCCACCATCATGAGACTGTAAGCTGCATACTTTTATGATAAGATCAGCAGTAATATTGATGAAAGCAATTTTTCTGATCACTCAGTCAACCCATATTTTCCAAATGACTAATGCATAGTGTTACGAAATCATGAATGGTTAAAAGATCCATTCAAAGTACAAGACGGACCAATGGAATTTAATGTAACAGAGTACAAAACATTCATTGATGTAGTTTCCAATTCTATACTGCAACTAACCTTTAAGAAACTACCATTTGTTGAGTTTGAGTTTGATATAAAAAAAGAATGTCCATAATTATCTGAAAAGCCTAGTAAAATAGTCTTCCCTTTCCCAACTCCGTATCTGTCTAAGGCCAGATTTTCTTCATATCCTTCCATCAAAACAACATTATTACAACAGATGGAATGCAGAAGCAGCTATTTGAATCCAGCTGTTAATGCAGACCTTAAAGCAACTGGTGAAAATGTGAACCAATGCCACTGTCCTCACTGAACTTTTGTTTTGAAAATTTTTTGTAAATTTTGTTTTAAAAAAGTCACATTATAAAGCAATGGGCATATATATATATCTTTTATATTTTTAAAATATATATGTATATGTATGTTTTTAAAAATATATATGTGTATGTATATTATATTCTTTTATATATATATATATATATATATATATATATATATATATATTTTTTTTTTTTTTTTGAGATGGAGTTTTGCTCTTGTTGCCCAGGCTGGAGCACAATGGCTTGATCTCAGCTCACTGCAACCTCTGCCTCCTGGATTCAAGCAATTTTCCTGTCTCAGCCTCCCAAATAGCTGGGATTACAGGCGCATGTCACCACGCCTGGCTAATTTTTGTATGTTTAGTAGAGATGGGGTTTCATCATATTGGTCAGGCTGGTCTTGAACTCCTGACCTCAGGTGATCCACCCGCCTTGGCCTCCCAAAGTGCTGGGATTACAGGCATGAGTCACCGTGCGCAGCCATTTTTGTTATTTTTAATGAATTAATAAATATGATAAATAGCTTCCATTTCAAATATGGCAAATATCAATAAATATAGCCATGTAAATAAATGAAAGTTCTCTGGAGTTGTTGACAATTTGTAAGAATATAAAGTGGTCAAGAGAAGAAAAGTTTGAAAACCACTAAACTAAAGTAATACTGCCAAAATACTAAGAGCTATTTAGCATCATTAAAAACACTGAATGGGCCGGGCACGGGGCTCACGCCTGTAATCCCAGCACTTTGGCCAAGAGGCTGAGGCATGTGGATCACCTGAAATCAGGAGTTCGAGACCAGCCTGGCCAACATGGTGAAGCCCCATTTCTACTACAAATACAAAAAATTAGCCAGGTGTGGTTGTGGGACCCTGTAATCCCAGCTACTCAGAAGGCTGAGGCAGGAGAATCGCTTAAACCCAGGAGGCAGAGGTTGCAGCCAGCCGAGATCATGCCACTGCACTCCAGCCTAGGCAACAAGAGCGAAACTCCGTCTCAAAACAAACAAACAAACAAAACAACAACAACAACAAATACCAAATGCATTTGATTTGACCTGAGATAAGCAGGAAAAATAAAGTCCCACTTGTGCCATCTTCCAGGGCCTTTTAAGGCACTCAGGGCAAAGTTGTTCCCTCATAAATGTGTATTTTTCCGCATTAACAGAAATGTTGTCAAAAAGCATGAGGCACATATGTTGTTCTTCTACAACACAGCACATCGTTTCTTGAAATACTATTTTTGATTCTGAATAAAAAAGCACATCAACAGGGAAGACAGAAGGACAGGCCCACGGGGCTAGTGGCACTTTCTCGTTAGCTAACTTTTGGGAAAATGATACTGGGAAACAGGAATGGGAGAGAAGGCAGCCAGGTGTATACAGGACATAGTATAAACTGTGGCCGGGCATGGTGGCTCACGCCTGTAATCCCAGCACTTTGGGAGGTTGAGGTGGGCAGATCACGAGGTCAGGAGACTGAGACCACGGTGAAACCCCGTCTCTACTAAAAATACAAAAACTTAGCCGGGTGCGGTGGCGGGTACCTGTAGTCCCAGCTACTTGGGAGGCTGAGGCAGGAGAATGGTGTGAACCCGGGTGGTGGAGCTTGCAGTGAGCCGAGATCGCGCCACTGTACTCCAGCCTGGAGTGACAGAGTGAGACACCATTTCAAAAAAAAAAAAAAAAAAGGACACAGTATATACTGTTTACACTGCCTAGGAAAGTCTCATTTTCTTTTTAAAGAACTGGTGTTTCCAGGTTTCCAGACATCCTTCTAGTAAACCTGTTCCTAAGGTTAAGGTATACAATCAGTTTTCAGGAGCCTACTCACTAATATGGAGTCAATAAAGCATCTAAAAGAAGAAAAGTCGAGTCCAATATTAGATATGATGAATCTAACAGACTAAAAAATTCTAATAATTGATGTTTTGAAGTTAAATCCTAGGACAAATATCTTTTCAGGAATATAGTACTGCAAATACAAATAGTACAGAAAACAAAGATTTTACTCACTATGGCATCTTTAACAATTTGTTTGGCCACCTGTTCTGGTTTGCACACAGATGTGGTCTCTGAAATAAGTCGAGTCTCCAAAGGCTAAAAGTGGAAAAAAATGTACATAACAATATCATGATTACCCATTATATTCAAAATAAATTATTCTTACAGCCTCCTGATTTACAAATAATTCCAATTTTCTACCTTTGGGCAGATTCCTATTTTTAGAATAAGGCCCATCTGGATTCTAAATCAGTGTCTACCTAGTTACTATGTAAAATTCTACCCAGTAGCTGAAGCAAGACAAGGAGGCCTTTGCCATTCTCTGAGGACATATGAAGTCTTGGCTCCAGTGAGGATCGTCAAAGCTACAGTTGAGAACACATCACCGGATACAAGTTCAGAAAGACTCTCTCATTGACACCTCAGTGCCGACCAGACACCTGAGTGATGGTGCTTCTGCAGAGGCTAGACCTGTGTCCACAGCAAGCCTGCTCTCAAGGCCAGCAGCTCTATTCTGACCATACTCCCAGGCCAGCAGAGGGCTGATCCCTGGGGATGAACCTGGCGCCCAAGGTAGGCACAGTCGCAACCCAGCCCCTAATTCAACAACTGCAGATGTTTCTTAAAGGATCTGCAGAGGAGGCAAACGCACAGGACACTGAAAGAGAAGGAGCCACTTAGGAGACAACGCTGAGTGGTCCCTAGATGGGCTGCACGCTAGTTACCAGGCTGGAGCTGCAGACCCCAAATCTTGGACTTTTCTTCCTCAAAAGGTCGATCTCAACTCTCACCTAGCTCAAAAAGCCTTCCCTAAATACCTAACTGGCAGTAACCTCTCTTCCTTCTGTGAATATTTCTGCTTTAATACACAGTATAGCTACTTGCGAATTGGCATTTTACCTCAAGTTTCTTGTGGGCAGGGCCTTTTTTACAAGCAATCATTTATCTTTGGCTTTTCTTTGTGATGCCTTGCATATATGTGGACAAAAATTATTTCAATTAGTTCCATTAGTTTCAATTAGGAGTGTCAAAATGGTTTCAATTAGAAGCGTCAAATAATTTCAATTAGAAGTGTCAAACGAAAGCCTTAAACTGCATGAGACTGTAAACTTTACCATAAAGCTTGAAGGAATTAAAGAAAATAAAAACCAGATTATATTTTCTTAAAATAGGAAGTAAAGTATTTCATAAAGACCAAGTATTTCTTGTGAACCTGAATTATGAGAAAGGTTGTTTTGAAGGTGCCACTATTCATTCTTCCAGACCCCCAGGCTGGCATAACCACACTAAATACACATAAGATTCTAAAGTACTACGGCGCCCCCTAAAGGGCCTACACATCAATGTAGAATTTTATTTACCCAAACAAGTCTGCCCAAAATTTTACTGAACGGGAAAAAAAACCCAACTTAATCAACATCAGAATCAAAGCTTAACAGGGAAATCACCACCCTTTGTCAGCTTTGGCTTCAAACTAAAAGACTGCATACCAAATGTTGCAAAGCTTATTATAAGACAGGACATTTGGCTTAAATTTACTTCTTTGAAATAGCAGTACTTTTTAAAAAGGCAGAGCCAAAGAGAAAAGAATAGGGGGAAAAAAACCTTCTAAATCACAAACATCTTTTTACAAATATACAGTCTAGGGAGTTTAAGTGCCAATTTTTATGCTGCAGAGTTTCACATTTACAAAGTATTGGTATAAAAGAGAAGAAAAAAATACAAAACTAAAATCAACCACAGTTCAAGGTGGTAAGTTCTGATTAATTCCTTTCTTCCCACTTCACCTATTCATTTGCTCAAAAAAGCAACTACTATGTGTCAAGGAAAAGGGAATATTCCATTGAAAACGTGTGAAGCTTATATTCAGCTCGGAACGACTGGCAGTCATTTTATATAAAAGATATGTCTGTTATAAGTGCTATGAGAAGTTTCTGATGTGATAAGTGCAATGGAGACTCAAATCATCAGACCCCAAATCATCTCGTCTACAACGGCAGAAGATGAGCAGTTTACTAACCAGACTCTTAATTCTGGAACACCAGTCACCACTAAGAGTAGTTATAAGGCACCTTGCAGAAACAGAAAAATTAAGCAAAAGTTGGCACTTAGGTGGTAAGCTCCCCAGCCCTCTTGCCCTGCTTGGTTCCCACAACACAGACAGCAAGTCTTACTCTCCCAAAGGCAGGAGATGACATGATTCCTCACTAGGGAAATTGATCAAACCATGAGAAAAGTGAGCAGATGCTGGCATATGAAAGTCTTCTAATGAAGTGGCTACATCCCCTCCTGATCATCCCATAGTAAACAGCTGAGAAGCTAGAGAATTACAATTGGCATTTTAGTGCCTCACTCTTAAATATGGACAATCAAGGATCACCAGACATTTGAGGAAGCCTTAAAAAACAACAACAGAGAAAAAGAAAGTAGGAGGAAATAAATATTATGAGATGTAGAAGAAATTTTCAAACAAAACAACAGCAACAAAAAAACAAAGCTAAACATCCAGAGTGAACATCCTTAGACACAAGAGAAAATATGAAATCCATGAAATAAGAAGCTATTTTTAAAAACTGTTTTAAATATTCAGAGAAAAGAGATCTAAAGTAATTTTTATGTAAGCCAGCAGAAATAAAAATTTCAACAAAAAGGTTTAAGGATAAAGCTAATTTAAAACTAGAAAGAAGAACAAAAGGCCAAAGAGATTTTTTTTTAAAAATGAGAGAAAATAGAAGGAAATTAGAGGATCGGTCCAGAAAGTTCAAAAATCTGAATAATAAATGCTCCAGAAAGATGAACACTTGAAATACTTTGGGAAGAAAGAAGTGATAAAAGGAGTAATACAATAAAATGTCCCAGAACAAAAGTTGACAAAATAAAAGGGCTCCTTTTCGTGTCTAGCACATGAAGTGAGAAGACTCCATGCCAAAATCCATTAAGTAAGGATAAAAAGGTATACAAGGTTTCCAAAAATAAATGGAAAAACAGGTTCTATACAAAAGATTGGGAATCAAAATGGTATCACATTCCACAGAAATTCTGGAAGCTGGAAATCAATAAATGCCCACAGAAATCTGAGGAAACATTATTTCCAAACTAGAAATCTGTACTTAATAAAACAATACATCAAGAATAAAAAAAAATGGCCAGGCATAGTGGTCATGCCTGTAATCCCAGCACTTTGGGAGGCCAGGGTGGGCCAGGAGTTGGAAACCGGCGTGGCCAACATGGTGAAACCCCGTGTCTACTAAAAAAAAAAGACAAAAAATCAGCTGGGAATGGTGGCACGCACCTGTAACCCCAGCTACTCAGGAGGCTGAGGCACGGGAATCTCTTGAACCCAGGAGGCAGAGGTTGCAGCGAGCCAACATTGCACCATTGCACTCCAGCCTGGGTGACAGAGCAAGAGTCCATCTCAAAAAAAAAAAAAAGATTAAAATTAAAATAAAGGCATTTTCAGACATGTCGTTTCTAAAACAATATTACCTCTGATGTGCCCTTTCTCAGAAAATTGGTGGAAAATATTATAGCTCTGCCAAAATGAGCAGATAAACCAAAAAAGTGAGAGTCATGGGCTCCGTCAAAGGGAGAGGAGAAGGGAATGTGCAGTGTGAGGTGAAGACAAGTCCTGAGACCACTGCTGGGTGGCAGATCTAGAACAGACCAGGAATGGGGACGACCCCAGGAGAAATGTCTGAGGAAGAAAGAATGAAACAGAATGTCCAATGTGCTCACATGGATCAAAAGGAGAATCTCAGTTCTGTCTGAATCTGGGACTGAATTAGTTACAGATAATTACAAAGCTAAGTAAATGAAAAGGCAAGAAAGGAAATGTCACTATAGAATGGTCCAAGTGTGCATAATATTTGCAGTCATATTAATATAAGCACTAAACCTGATTTAACTAAAGAGATGGGAGGAGTACACAGGGAATGGGGAACAGATATGAATCTTAACGTTTTTGTTTTGAAACAGGGTCTTACTCTGTTGCCCAGGCTGGAGTACAGTGGTGCAATCTTGGCTCACTGTAGCCTCAACTTCCTGGGCTCAAACTATCTGATATGGTTTGGATCTGTGTCCCCACGCAAATCTCACGTCCAACTGCAATCCCTAATGTCGGAGGAGGGACCTGGTGGGAGGTCACTGGATCATGGAGGTGGATTTCCCTCTTGCTGTTCTCATGATACTGAGTGAGCTCTCATGAGATCTGGTTGTTTAGAAGTGTGTGGCACCTCCCGTCTCTCGCCTCCTCCTGCTCCGACCACGTAAGACGTGCCTGCTTTCCCTTTACCTTTGGCCAAGATTATAAGTTTCCTGAGGCCTCCCCAGAAGCAGCAGCCTGTACAGCCTGTGGAACTGTAAGCAAACTAAACCTCTTCTATGTGTAAATTACCCAGTCTCAGGTATTTATTTATAGTAATGCAAGAACAGACTAATACACTATCCTTCCACCTTAGCCTCCCAAGTAGGTGGAACTATTCTAATTTTGCTTATTTTTTTGTAGGGATAGGGTCTCGCTATGTTGCCCAGGCTGGTCTTGAACTCCTGGGCTCAATCAATCCTCCTGCCATGGCCTCCCAAAGTACTGGGATTACTGGTGTGAGCCACCATGGCTGGCCTTAAATTTTTACTTTTTTATTTTTAATTTTTTTTTAGATATTGGTTCTCTCTCTGTCACCCAGGTCAAAATGCTGTAGTAAAATCCTGGCTCACTGCAGCCTCAACCTCCCTGGCTCAAATGATCCTCCCACTTTAGCCTCCTGAGTAGCTGGGACTACAAGCATGTGCCCCCATGCCTAGCTAATTTTTTAATTTTTTGTAGAGCCAGGGTTTCATTATGTTGCCCAGGCTGGTCTTGAACTCGTGGTCTCAAGTGATCTTCTTGCCTTGGCCTCCCAAAGTGCTGGGATTACAGGTGTGAGCCACACTGTGCCTGGCCTGGTCTTAAATTTTATCTTCCACAGTAGAAAGTCAATAAATAATTTATAAATCTTAAAAAAAAAAAAAAAAAAAAAGGGCAGTATAAACATGTTAGTTAAAATAAATGGCTACCTCTAGGCAGTAGGAATTGGGAATAGGAGAGATGAGGCAAAGGATTGATATTGGACTCTAAAACTGTGTGACATAGTTCTTTGATGAAAATGTGCTAGAAATGGCTGGGTGCAATGGCTATAATCTCAGCACTTTGGAGGCTGAGGAAAGAGAATCACTTGAGGCCAGGAGTTTGAGACCAGCCTGAGCGACATAGTGAGACCCCATCTCTACAAAAAAATTAAACATTAGCCAGGTTTGGTGGCACACGCTTGTAGGCCCAGCTACTCAGGTGGCTGAGGCAAGAGGATTGCTTGAGCCTGAGAGTTTGAGGATACAGTTAGCCATGACTGTACCACTGCACTCCAGCCTGGACAGCAGAGTGAGGCCCTGTCGCTATAGAGAAAACATCTGGTGGAAATTTAAATTAAACTTTAAGAAAAGGAAGTGAAGGAAAAGAGGAAGGAAAGAAGGAATATATGCCTGGAGAATCTCAAGGTCATCAGAAACCAGCTAGGCACTCTACCCAGTAAACACTGTTGACTGGTGAAAACCCCAATAAACACTGTTGACTGGTGAAAACGAGTATAAGCTGAAGAGCAGAAAGAAAATCAGGAAAGCAGTAAACATTAAAGGTTCAAACTGGGACATGTAGGATACTGACCTTTGTTCTGTTTTCTTCGGCAAAGCCAGGTGTATCTGTGTCTGGTGGGTAAGCAACTGTGATGTAGACATTATATGGCTTCACCTGCATTTCAAAACAACACATGTACCTTCAGTAACCAAGACACACCGAGGTCCTACACTGCCAACCTGCACTGGCTGCCCTGATTCCCAAAAAGTGGTGAGAACAATGGGGTGATTCTGTACGCAGGGAACTACACCAGCTGCATTGAGAAATGCCTCTCCATGAAGATGATTCCAGAACGAAGGCAAAAAGCTCACCCTAACCTAGACCCGGGAAAACAGCTGGCCCTAAAGTATGGCAAGTCACCTCCTTTGCAGTATCTTCCGCTCCTGCTGCCCAGGCAGAGGCCCTGAGAGACGTCCAACGAGGAGGGCGGTGTTTTAAAAACAGTCCAGTTCTCACACGCACTGCACAACATCCGAGCCCTTTATCAAGGCAATGGGACCGGTCTGCCCCTTCTTTCTTCACCAGATTGCACATCTGTTTAACATTCAGACTGCTTCTGACACTCTTGTGTTAATTTCATCCACAAAATACACTGGGGTCATTAAAATCTGCTGCCCTATCCTCTTCTTGTGCCCCACCCCAAAGCCAGTCCAGAACTGTCCCTGAGAAGTCTGCTTATTCCAGAGCTCTCTGTACAATTGGCCTCTGCCCATTAGGAGGTCAAGAGTCACCTCCTGCACTGAACCAACAAGAAGAACCACTGGGTAGAACCTCCAAGACAGACCAGCCAAGTACCTCCCCTGTGGACAACCTCAACCTGCATTCACATAGGGAAAGCCTTCCGCCTTATCTGAAACTCTGTGTGGCTCCTCTCAATCTGACACTTGGAGTAGGTTGTTACACTTGTGTGCCTCACCACCTCGCCTGCACACTTTGCGCTTCACACCCCCACTCACACACACAACCCCAACAATTCCAGCAGATTCTTCTGCTGTTGGCCGGGACACACCCTCCCACAGATTGCTCAGCCACAGCCCTGCTGCACACACTTATCTCGCCCTGCCAATTAGCAACTCTAAGAGCAATGGTTCATACCGTGAAAAATCTCTCTGCCATGATTTTTATCTGGTATTGGCTCACTCTTTCATCCCTAGGAACACACCTAAGGGATCTGGAAGCGGAGAGGCAGCTGACAGATCAGCCACTGCACATCTTCAGGAGGGTACCCTAGGCTGAAAATCAACACCACACTGCCTAATGTGACGGCCTTTAAGAGTAGCCCAGGGGCCGGGCGCGGTGGCTCATGCCTATAATCCCAACATTTTGGGAGGCCAAGGCGGGCGGATCACCTGAGGTCAGGAGTGCAAGACCAGCCTGGCCAACATGGTGAAACCCTGTCTTTAGCAAAACTACAAAAATTAGTTGCGTTTGGTGGTGGATGCCTGTAATCCCAGCTGCTCGAGAGGCTGAGGCAGAAGAATTGCTTGAGCCCAGGAGGCGCAGGTTGCAGTGAGTTGAGATCACACCACTGTACTCCAGCCTGGGTGACAAGACGCAGACTCCATCTCAAAAAAAAAAAAAGAGTAGCCCAGAGTCTCATCTCATGCAGCCCTTTTCTTCCCTGGTTCCTTCAGTGAAGCACAGTTTTGAGGGCTTTAAGGGGAGCTGCAAGGGGAAGAAGCAGCACGCACAGGCCTGCAAGCAGAAGATCCAGGCCAGCCATCCTGGAAAGTGCAGTCGTGAAAGTGAGATGTCTTTGTGGGTTCCATTCCAGCGCAATTAGGGCATGGGACAGCCCATCCACGGGGCATCGCCAGGGCATGCAACTTCACAGCCCAGCCATGCTCATAAATAGCTCTGGATTGGGGCCCAGTAATGAGGCAGATGAGCCAGAAACTCGCTTCCACTTGTTTTTGAGACAGTGACTTACGAAAACCTCGTCCTCCCCAGCCTTGTCCTCCACTGTGCACCGACCAGAGAAAAACACCACAAAAAATCCAGCGAGTTGTCATTAGGCAGCCCACATCAAGACTGACACTGACTGGCCAGAAACTCACGACTGCGCTGCCCCTCTGCCTTCTCTCTCATGGTAAAGGAAGATGCTGGCTCCAAAGCTAATGGAAGACAGGATTACAGAGCAGTGCTTCTCAAAATCAAGGTTATGGCTGCATTGCCAAAGGTTAAAACAGCTTTTCAGAGCAGCAGCTTCATGAGGTAGGAAGACAGATTGCTGGGCTTGGGAGAAACCAGTCCAATCGCTTCTAGATTGGTATTGTCGCTACGCCATCCAACCAAATGACTCTCCCAGTCTCTGGCTGGATACTTCCAGTGGCTAGTCACCTCACCATTTGCATATTCTTTTATTTATTCATGCAACAACGAGCACTTATTGAATTACTTCTACATGCCAGTATTGTTCTAAGAACAAAGCATAAGGTTAAGATTCTAGTTTCCTGAAACTCTTGGTCAAATAATTTGCTAAAATCTGAATATACTAAACCATATCTACACCTTCTTTTAATCAACTGAGCTCATAATCCTATCATAAACAAAAATGAGGGCAGTCTGGCTTTACTTCTTCTTATAAGACAATGCTAGCTCCCTGAGATCACCACTCTCTCTAAGAACAGATGAGCCAGGTCCTCACTGAGTCCCCTGCTGCCTGGTCACTGCTTCTCCTCATCCCTGTTGCCTGACCATTCTGTGTGCCCCTCACTCTGCCCCACGCCCATCCTATTACTTCCTCCCTTCTCTCTGGCCTCAACCTCAAACAGAAAGACAGCTGACCACTTGTTCAAGAACCGATTTGTGGGCCGGGTGCAGTGGCTCACACCTGTAATCCCAGCACTTTGGGAGGCCGAGGCGGGCAGATCACCTGAGTGTAAGACCAGCCTGGCCAATATGGTGAAACCCCATCTCTACCAAAAATACAAAAATTAGCTAGGCGTGGTGGTGGGCACCTGGAATCCCACCTACTTGGGAGGCTGAGCCAGGAGAATCGCTTGAACCAGGGAGGCAGAGGTTGCAGTGAACCGAGATCACGCCACCGTACTCCAGCCTGGGCGACAGAGTGAGACTCTGTCTCAAAAAAAAAAAAAAAAACAAACACAGATTTGTTATTAAAATAATTCACACAGGATGTGCTGTTCCCCATTCCATCAAAACAAAGACAGTGGGGGCTGGAAAGATTACGGCTGTGTACATGAAACTCCGGAATTTAAGCTTTAACTTACTTTCAGACCACAGAGGGAAGAGATGGGAGGAGAGGGGCATGATCAGGGTAAGAAAAGCAGAAAAGGGAGCATCAGTTTTTTTTTGTTTTTGGCTTGGTCTCTGCTACCGCATCTTTGGCTATAACACACCTCAGAAGTCTGCTTTCCAAAAGATGAACTTTTAAATCTTTACATTTCTTCCTAAAAGACTGAGTAAAAAAAGACCAAAAAGTGCCAACAATGCATTCTTTCAAAATTACTCATGGTACCCATAACAATGCCAGGGTCCTACCTTAGTTTGGGGGCAAAGGAAGGTGGACAGAGAGACTTCAAAGTTAATTAAACCCAAAGAATTGTTACAAATATTTAGAGGCCAGACGCAGTGGCTTACACCGCCTATAATCCCAGAACTTTGGGAGGCCAAGGCAGGTGGATCACCTGAGTCCAGGAGTTCAAGACCAGCCCGGGCCACATAGCGAGACCCCATGTCTACAAAAAAATAAAATAAGTAAAAAATAAACGAACAACAAAAAAATCCCAGCAAGGCATGGTAGGACACACTTGTAGCCCCAACTACTTGGGAAGCTGAGGTGGGAGGACTGCTTGGGCCCAGGAGGCAGAGGCTACAGTGAGCCAAGATCAAACCACTGCACTCCAGCCTGGGCAACAAACCAAGACTATCTCCAGAAAATAAAAATTTAAAAAAAAAAAAAAGTATTTAGAGTTTGAGCAATTACATAAGATTTCACTGACAGAAAACACACCTACCTTGACCACATTATCCAGGTTTCAAAAAAATGCTACTATAATTACTGTAGGGTCACAATAATTGGTTTGATGCAAGTTCTACTACGAACAAACTAGATTTTGATGACTGCATTTATTTTCCCCAGAACCTATTTTTTTATGGGATACGTTCATTTTCTTTTCTTTTTTTTAAGTGAGGGCATTTTTAATAGAGTCCAAATAAGGACAGAAGTCATGCAGACTTGAGTGTGCAGACCGGCTACTTGCAGTATGCAAATCACACTTGTCCCAGAGATTGGGGGGCTCCGTCTGTACCAGCAATCCACTTTCTTTTTCCTCTTTTTTAGCATCTCTGTTCTACTTGAAGTGAAACCAGGCCACCCCGACTGTACACTTTGCTCTAAATCAGTGAATGCTGACACAGCTTTGCAAAAAGTCCTAATGGGCAGATTCTTCATCCCGCAAACACCCCTTCACCTACACGGATCCTAAGACCAAAGTAAGGGGCCGAGGCAACCAGCCAGGTGAACCAACTAGCTGGACGCATCATCTGCTGCAAAAGGGCAGCAGACCTGGGGTCAAGGCTTCGATCGTGTTATGATTTCTGTCATTAAGTATGTGACTTCGAGCAACACATTGAATGTATTGAAAATTGGGTTTTCCTCTCATTAGGTGGCATGACAACATCTCCCTCACATATTTTACAAAACTGTGATAAAAATAAAATGGTGGCTGGGTGTGCTGGCTCACACCTGTAATCCCAGCACTTTGGGAGGCTAAAGTCAGAAGATTGCTTGAGCTTAGGCGTTTGAGACCAGCTTTGGCAACACAGTGAGACCCCTTCTCTACAAAGAATTTTAAAAATTAGCCAGACGTGGTGATGTGCACCTGTGGTCTTAGCTACTTGGGAGGCTGAGACAGGAGGATCACTTGAGCCAAGGAGCTTAGGGCTACAGTGAGCTATGATTGTGCCACTGCACTCCAGCCTGGGTGACAGAGTGAGACGCTGTCTCTAAAAAAACAATAATAAAATAAAAATAAATAAAACAGGTATTCACAAAAAGACTTTTCAAATTTAAAAACTTCAAAAGAAATACCAGTATTCTTTTTTGAAATTTCACAGCCATCAGAGTCCTATTGGCTAAGCATATTATAACTATCTATTATTAAGAGTATTAGGCCAGTTGATAACAACAAAATCTGTGGCTGGTTCCTTTGGTATGAGAATGGCATGGTCTTTCAGTCCCTACGTGGCACATAGGGGCTGTCGCTGCCCCAGCAACTCATCTGTACTGTAACACTCGTCCCATATCTAACCAATGTGGTGCTCTATCACACACCATCAAGGTCTCTTATGGGGGTCTTCTAAATAGGGGTCAGCAAACTATGGCCCATGAGCCAGATCTGGCCCTCTGCCTGTTTTTTATAAGTAAAGTTTTATTGGAACACAGTGACAACTGTTCATTTACACACTGTCTACTGAGGCCGCTTTCCTGCTATCACAGCTGACTTAAGTAGCTATATTAGGTACCATTCAGCCTTTAAAACCTAACATATGTACTGTCTGCTCTTTGGTGAAAGTTTTGTCAACCCCTGATCTAAATCATCAACCAGGATTCCCAAAAGCACACTCTTACTATAAGAGGGTTGGCCGCAGTGAATACCCTTCTGGGCTCTTAACATTTTAGGCATCCACTGGAGGTCTTAGCTCACATCCCTTGTGGATAAGAGGGGACGACTGTACAGAGCAATGGAAAGAACTTTACCCTGCCTTTTTCAGGATGTGATTTTTGGGTAGATACGTATGTGATGCTCTCTAAGCATTCCTGTGTGACAATAATGTGGAAGTCGGCTTCATGCAGCTGAGATGCAAAGTTGCACTCATCATGACAAACGCTATTTTGATGCAAATGCTAACTATATCCTTCTTCCACAAAATGTTCTATTAACTATGTAAATAAAAAGCATTCATTTTCCCAACATTTCTTTAAGATATAAAAATATAAATACTGGGAGAGTCAAATTATTGCTTTATTCCAACCCTCCCATTTTACAGATGAGGAAACTGAGAGCAAGTTAAATGACTTGTCTAAAAGCTAAAAATTAGCAGCTGATTCAAGCTCTTCCCTCAAACATGTACTAATTTCATGTATTATTCAGTCATAAGGACAATCTTTTTGTTAAAGAAAAATCTCTATAAAATAAAATATCTGGTTAACCTTACATTCACACAGTATTAGACCAATAACACTATGACGATATTACTAGTATTTTGCGTATTAAATTAAACAAGCAAAAATCCCATTACCATTTTGCATCTGTTGTAACTATAATCTTCATGCAATGAAAAATGTTAACTGTAAAATTCAGGGTTGAGCCAATTCTCTTTCACTAATGTCAAATCTAAAAATCTCTAATTTAATACAACAGCACATGTAAAGAAGCTACAAAACTAAAGTGGAATGTATATTGTTGAGCGGACAGGAATAAATACAAAAATGAATACAACTTTTACCTCCATCTGCAAAGCTTCTGCCAATCCCCTTATGGCAAACTTGGATGCAGAGTAGGCTGTGAAACCGAATAATCCCAACTGTCCTGCCTGGGAGGACACAAACACGATCCTGCCCACCCGGCGCTCCTTCATGGTGGTGATCACGGCCCGGCTGGGGTACACGCTGCCCAGGTAATTGATGCTCATTAACCTCTGCAGGGAACAAAGAGACCACATGAGGAGTGCATGAGGTCAAAAGCCTCAAGGCTGTGCTCATGGAGAATTTAGTCTGCTTTCTGGATTTCAGTTCTTCAATGCATGCTCAAGTGACTGGGAAGCTCAACAGGCTTACTGAAGGAGCGACTGATGACGTTTTGCTATAAATGAAATGTGATTTGAGACCTACCATTATCTGAAGGCGCGGGACCTACCATTTGAAGCCTGTTTCAGTCTATCTTGCATTCTGACCATGACAGCAGTTACGTTTTTCCTGAAAACTGGTCAAAGTTAGTTTTCTCCTTATAAAAAGTACACTGCATGTTTGTGGGTAGTACTTTCTGAAAGATCTTTTTAGGAAAGAACTTCCAAGTATTTGTAGTCCTATTGTTTTAAGCAGTAAGAAAAGCACAAACAGAGTAGGAGGGTGATTAAAAGTTTTGGTTTCAAGCCTTGGCTCTCCCACTTATTGCCTATTTGATGATGAAAAAGCAAGTCAGACATTCTACTCATTTTCTCGGCTAAAAACAAGGTTAATATGGGTATGACTTTTAAGGATTAAAAGAGAAAACACAAGGTAAGCGCTAACACAGCTCTGGGTCTCAAGAACCACTGGCTCGCCCATTATGATGGGTAAGAGTACTAGTAGTATATTTTCTCCTTAACTTAAGCTTTTAATTTTTATTTATTTTTTGCTTTTTTACTATTATCATTTTTTTTTTTAGAGACAGGGTCTCACTCGTCTACCCAGGTTGAAGTGCAGTGGAGCAACCTTGGATGGGTAAGAGTACTAGTGGTATATTTTCTCCTTAACTTGTAAGTTTTTAATTTTTATTTATTTATTGCTTTTTTACTATTATCTTTTTTTTTTCAGAGACAGGGTCTCACTGGCTCACCCAGGTTGAAGTGCAGTGGTGCAACCTTGGCTCACTGCAGTCTCAATTTCCTGGGCTCAAGCAATCCTCTTGCCTCAGCCTCTTGAGTACATGGGACTACAGGCACATGCCACCACGACCAGCTAATTTTTGTATTTTTTGTAATGACGGGATCCTCTTGTTTTACCTAGGCTGGTCTTGAACTCCTGGGCTCCAGCAATACTCCTGCCTTGACCTCCCAAAGTGATGGAATTACAGGCATGAGCCACTGTGCCTAGCCCGAGCTCTTAAAAACCTTAAATTTTAACTTGAAAATCTAATAACCCGTGCATTAAAATGTTTCAAATATTCAAATATTTGTAAAAATATTAGATCAGCATGTAAATAAAAACTAAATAACTCAGTTGTGGAACTTGAGAGTAATCATAATTCTTTTTCATATTATGGACAGAACATGAACATACAATCATAGTATTTTAATTCAAGAGAATATTAGATTTTGTTTGTTTTTGTTTGAGATGGAGTTTCGCTCTTGTTGCCAAGGCTGGAGTATAATGGTATGATCTTGGCTCACTGCAACCTCTGCCTCCCGGGTTCAAGCGATTCTCCTGCCTCAGCCTCCAGAGCAGTTGGGATTACAAGCACCCACCACTAAGCCTGGCTAATTTTTTGCATTTTTAGTAGAGATAGGGTTTTGCCATGTTGGGCAGGCTGGTCTTGAACTCCTGACCTCAGGTGATCCGCCCACCTCAGCCTCCCAAAGTGTTGGGATTACAGGTGTGAGCCACTGCGCCCGGCCTAGATAATTTTTTTAAATGATGACCAGAAACACTGGAAGTGACAGGAAAAATATCTATGCTATTTAAGTTTAAAAAGCAGAAGCCAGACTGTATGCATGCTGTAACTGTAATTACTTCAAAGGTTAAGTAAAAGTACACATGCTCAGAGAGAAGACCAAAGAAATACAGAAGATCGTAACTGACTGAGTTAGGATGCTGGGATTCTCATTTTTTTCCAAAAATGTGTTTTAATAACATGATATTGTTTTGATAATAAAAATGTTCTAAGCCAGGCACGGTGGCTCATGCCTGTAATCCCAGCACTTTGGGAGGCAGAGGTAGGTGGATTACCTGAGGTCAGGAGTTCAAGACCAGTCTGACCAACTTGGTGAAAACCCGTCTCTACTACAAATACAAAAAAAAAATTAGCCAGGTGTGGTGGTGGGCACCTGTAATCCCAGCTACTCGGGAGGCTGAGGCAGGAGAATTGCTTGCGCCTGGGAAGTGGAGGTTGCAGTGATCCACGATTGAGCCACTGCGCTCCCACCTGGGTGACAGAGCGAGACTCTGTCTCCAAAAAAAAAAAAAAAAAGGTTCTAAAAGAATATTTGGAAAAAGATAGCACACTGAACACATGTGTTTACCTCAGCTCCCTTTAGAAACCTCGCTAAAATCTCAGTAAAGAGACTTTTTTTTTAAGGCAAGAGCCCACAAGAACAAAGAAAATAGGAATAAAAATAACAGCAATAACCTTTTGGAAGCTGAAGAACAGACTGACGAGGGATAACTAACTTAGCAGACCACAAAAAACTAAAACCTAAGTGGGGAGTGGAGAAACTAAAAAGCCAGATTCTACCACAGAACCCCAAAAGGGTCCAGCCGCAAGAGTCTCTGGGGTGGAGGGAAAGGTGGGCTGGCATGGGGCTGAGACAGGAGTAGGGACTAAGAGTCTACTTAATAAGCAATCAGCTGGAAACAGCCCAAACGGCCATTGGCGATGACCAGCTAAACAGAATGTGGTCAATGCATACAACGGAATATTATCGCCCTATAAAAAGGAATGAAACACCCATATATGCTACATGTGGGATGAGCCTCAAAAACATGATGCCAAGAGAAAGAGGCCACACATAGAAGGGCACGTATCATGATTCCAATCATACTAAATAACCAGAGACAGAATACAGTTTGGTGGTTGTCAGAGATCGGGTGTGGGGATGAGCAGGGATGGGGAGCAACTGCTTACCAGGTGAGGGCTGCCCTGCGGGTGATGCGTTTGTTTCAGAAGTAGGCGGAGGTGGTGGTGGCACCGCATTGTAAATGTGCTAACTGCCTCTGCACGGCTCACTTTAAAAACGGTTAATTTAATGTTATATGAATTTCACCTCAATTAAAAAAAAGAATGTCGGACAATGATAAAAAAGGAGTTAGATCTTAGATGCCTTTCCCCTCTCCGCAGGGCAGATCTGTGCCCCTCTTCCAGCCTGGCAGGAGACTGGAGGTTCCGTTTCTAGGGAAAGTAAGTCTGGATAAAGAGAGAGGTTTAAGAGAAAGTCTGCCTAGACAGTGCACACAAAGACAACACCACTCTCCCCAGCTTTATTGTCACAGGAGGCTGGAAGACACTCCTCAGGGCTTCTGACCAACCCAAGAGAAAAGATTTACAGATAATGACACTGAAACTACGCCCACAGATATGACCACACAATCACCCTTCCAAAGGATCCATTGTCAAACAGGTCCACAAACAAGAAAAGAAGTCCCAGTCACCTTGTTAGTGCCTGATTCTGAAATGTGAAAACACAGCCAAGGGCCTCCAGACTCCCAGTGAACTCTCTCACACCAAAGACAGAGCCATTGGCCTCTGAGAGAAAGTAAACACACATACAAAGCAGAGACAATGAAAGACAAAAGAATTCTCCTTAACATCTACAGGGAGATAAGAGGGGAGATAGCACCAAGAAACCACAAAGAAAAGCATGAAAAGGAAAATTAAGGGAAGAGTATTGGGATTCCCCAAGACCATGCCCAGGCTGATGATTCACTAGAAGGTGTAAGTTCTCAGCAGATGGTCCTGCTCAGGACTAAGACTTATTACAGGGAAAGGATGCAAAGCCAAATCAGCAAAGGGAAAAGACATAGGGAGAAAAGTCCAGAAGAAACCAGGTGCGAGTTCCAACAGTCCTTGCCCAGTGGAGTCACACAGGACGTGCTTAATTCTCACACATGCCAAAGTACTGTGTACAGGCATTTCATTGTATCTATTTATTTATTTTTTGAGACAAAGTCTCGCTCTGTTGCCCAGGCTGGAGTGCAGGGGCGTGATCTCGGATCACTGCAACCTCCGTCTCCCAGGTTCAAGCGATTCTCCTGCCTCAGCCTCCCAAGCAGCTGGGACTACAGGTGCACACCACCACGTCCAGCTAATTTTTGTATTTTTAGTAGAGACAGGGTGTCACCATGCTGGCCAGGCTGGTCTCAAACTTCTGACCTCAAATGATCCACCCACCTCGGCCTCCGAAAGTGCTGGGATTACAGGCATGAGCCACCACGCCCAGCGTGTGTACAGGCATTTTACATGCAAGTGAACTTCAATTAAATTAAAAACTGAAAATAATAAAGCAAACATATAACTGAGATAGAATTCATTTTAAATAAAAATCATTTCCTATCATGAGAAAATGCACCAACTGTGAGTGCACTCAACAGGTTGAGTGTCCCTTATCGAAAATGCTTGGAACAAGAAGTGTTTTGGATTTGGGTTTTTTTGGATTTTGGAATATTGTATTGTACTTATTGGTTCAGCACCCCTAATCTGAAAATCTGAAATCCGAAATGCCATAAGAGGCATTTCCTTTGAGCATTATGTTGGCACTCAAACAGTTTCAGATTTTGAGCTGGGTGTGGGGGCTCACTCTTGTAATCCCAGTGGTTTGGGAGGCCAAGGCAGGTGGATCACAAGGTCAACAGTTCCAGACCAGCCTGGCCAACACGGTGAAACCCTGTCTCTACCAAAAACACAAAAATTAGTTGAGCATGGTGGTGGGTGCTTGTAGTCCCGGCTACTCAGGAGGCTGAGGCATGAGAATTGCTTGAGCCCGAGAGGCAGAGGTTGCAGTGTGCCAAGACTACACCACCGTACTCCAGCCTCAGTGACAGAGCAAGACTCTGTCTCAAAAAAAAGAAAGAAAAGAAAAAGATTGTTGATGCACTGGCAACTAAAAACCGTTTTCCATTTTTAAAACGTTTCAGGCCAGGTGTGGTGGCTCACGCCTGTACTCCCAGCACTTTGGGAGGCCGAGGTGGGCCAATCACTTGAGGTCAGGAGTCTGACACCAGCTGGGCCAACATGGCCAAAACCATCTCTACTAAAATAAAAAAAATTAGCTGGGTGTGCTGACATGTGCCTGTAATCCCAGCTACTAGGGAGGCTGAGGCAGGAGAATCACTTGAACTTGAGAGGTGGAGATTGCAGTAAGCAGAGATCATGCCACTGCACTCCAGCCTGGGCAACAGAGCAAGACTCCATCTTGAAAAAAGAAAAAAAAAAAACAATTTCAAATCTAATGTTCATTTCTTTGGTGCTGAAATAAATAACCAAGAGAAGTTCCTTGGTAAACCTGATTAAAAATATAAACATCAGGCGGGGGGCGGTGGCTCAAGCCTGTAATCCCAGCACTTTGGGAGGCCGAGACGGGCGGATCACGAGGTCAGGAGATCGAGACCATCCTGGCTAACCTGGTGAAACCCCGTCTCTACTAAAAAATACAAAAAACTAGCCGGGCGAGGTGGCGGGCGCCTGTAGTCCCAGCTACTTGGGAAGCTGAGACAGGAGAATGGCGTAAACCCGGGAGGTGGAGCTTGCAGTGAGCTGTGATCCGGCCACTGCAGTCCAGCCTGGGCGACAGAGCAAGACTCCGTCTCAAAAAAAAAAAAAAAAAAAAAAAAAAAAATATAAACATCAATAAGATGCAGTATCTTTTTATATTGATTTGAGAACTCTAGTGAGTCTGTTCTTCAACTTTTTTGGTTTCTCCTTGTTAATAATACTGATGTCTGACATGATCCAGCATCTCTTAGGTTACAAAGTACTCTCTTGAAAATATGACCTCAGTGAATTGCTACAGTAATCTGTGTCAGATCAGAAGTTCCATTCCCATTTTTGCTGGTTTTCTCAGCTATAAAATGTCTAAACTCTTAAGGTTCAATGGTCATGATACTGGAACGAAAACCTTGTTCAGCTTCACCTTGTTCAGCCTTCCTCCAGAGTCTTCTAAAGCTTCCATGGACATCTGAATGCATTCATCTAACTGATTCTTAAAAGCTTTTACCCGTGGCTTGCTCTGCTTTTAGTGTATGTGCTACTCCAGTGAGTAAACATTTTTACTTACTTCAAAGGTACTAACTTCAAGATCTTCAAATTTTCCTGACATCGCCATTCCTGCACAATTTACAAGCATGTCCACTGGACCCAGTTTCTCCTGTGCCTAGAAAAATGTAGCAGAGCAGGCATTAAGAAACAGAGAAGAAAAACCACTCAGCAGCAAATCCATGCTGATAAATAAAATTTACAAAACTATTAAACCTATAGAGAAGTTGTGCCCATTCCAAGCCACATAGCAAAATGGCAAGAACAAATCAAAAGTCAAGCACATTGGTGAATTCCAATTAGCCCAACCTCTTACTTGTTTTATGACATTCTCTACTTGGTTATAGTCTTGAGATACGTCAACCGATATGCAAAGCACCACCTGTTAAAAGAGAAGAAAAGTGATCAAAGTTTTGCAGGTACCAAACTATTTTTTAAAGATATTTTTAAAGAAAAGATAATTCATTGAATACAGAAGGAAGCCAATATTGAATGAACAGATTTCAGTGTTTGCTGATGATGCAATTCGTAGGATCTAATTTTCTTGGCAATTTTTGGAGTTAAAACTCTGAAGAATCTTTTTAAAAATATATAAATGCTCCTCTTGAAACGCCACTAATCTATAGTGACAGAAGGCAGATCAGGGGTTGCCCACAGCCAGGCATGAGGGATGGAAGGAACTGTGAAAGGGCACAGGCCGACCCTGGGGAGTGATGGAAATATTCCATATCAGGGCCTCAGTGCTGATTCCTTCAAAGAGGAATCCTGTCCAAATGATCAAAATTCCTAAGAAAAGGAAACAGCCCTCCCTGCAAATATAACCTGCACATTCTAGTCTAGAGGGATTGCCCTTGGTTGTAATGTATACCTAGAGTGGATTTTATCCCAACATCCTCAGATAGAAAACATTGTTTTAAAGGTAGTAGTAATTGGCTAGGCACGGTGGCTTACACCTGTAATCCCAGCACTCTGGGAGGCCGAGGCAGGTAGATCATTTGAGGTCAGGAGTTCGAGACCAGCCTGGCCAACATGGTGAAACCCCACCTCTACTAAGAATACAAAAAATTAGCCTGGCGTGGTGGCGGGCACCTGTAATCCCAGCTACTGGGGAGACTGAGGCAGGAGAATTGCTTGAACCCGGAAGATAGAGGCTGCAGTCAGCCGAGATCGCACCACTGCACACCAGCTTGGGTGACAGAGTGAGACTGTGTCTCAAAGAAAAAAAAAAAAAAAGGGCAGTAGTAATCATATGATTAATTTTAAAACATGCCTTTTCACACAGTATTAGACCAGTTACTATAAATAAAATCTATGCCACAGACACGTGAAATCTCAAAACAAAAAAAAGGTTAACAAGTCACACACACACAAAAAGGTTCCTGGAAGCCTGGCAGGGCAGAAGAAGGATCAAGCTCATTCTCGCCTGCCCCAGCCTTATCTCCATCTCCCTTCCTTGATGTGAAAGATAAGTTTCCCACCTGACCTAAAGCCCTTTGGCAGATGAAGAGGTAGAAGGTGGCATGATGAGGAAGCCCAGAGCAGAGACAGTGCTGGCAGCAGGCGAGACTGGCCTAGGCCCTGAACACTGACTCCTGGCTTCACACAATACTCCTTCCTCTATCAGATATTACAGGAATACGGGAAAAAATGGGGCAATTTACAGAGCTGCTGTTTTTCCTATGCTTGTGGGCTTCAGAGAAGGAGGGTAAAGACCACAGTCCTAGAGGAAAAACTCACGTGTGCAGAAGATGTACACAAGGATTTTTACCTGCAGCACAGACAGCAATTGCAAAGATAAAAATACAAAATAAAATAAAAAGAATGGAAACAGCTCAATAGGAGGGAACTGATGGAACAAGCTCTGGTGTACTTCAATCCTAGGCAGGAGCAATTTAAGGCAAATTTACTTAATGCACGTGGAAAGATCTCTAACACTCTGGAGGGGAAAAAGTCAATGAATACCACAGTGAAATACTATTTAAAACTCATCAGAAAGGCAAAAAGTCTGTCAATACCAAGTATTGGCAGGGATGTGCTATAATAGGAACCACAGTCCTACTTGTGGGAGCTTAACCACTTTGGTGAGGTTGAACAACTGCACACACTACAGCTCTGCAATTCCTTTTCTGGGTATGTACCATTCTTGCACATGTGCACAAAGAGAATAGTGAAAGCTTTTCTTTTTTTTTTTTTTTTTTTTTTTTTTTTTTTGTCTTGGTTTTTTTTTTTTTGCGGCGGGGGGGGGGGGGGTGTGCCGACGTTCTCCTCGCCCCCCCCCACCCCGCACACGCTTGAGAGACGAGTCTTGCTCTGTCGCCCAGGCTGGAGTGCAGTGGCCGGAGCTTGCAGTGACCAGATCTCAGCTCACTGCAAGCTCCGCCTCCCAGGTTTACGCCATTCTCCTGCCTCAGCCTCCCGAGTAGCTGGGACTACAGGCGCCCGCCACCTCGCCCGGCTAGTTTTTTGTGTTTTTTTGGTAGAGACGGGGTCTCACCGCAAGTGAAAGCTTTTCTAATAGTAAAAAACAAAACAAACTAACAAAAATACTGGGAACAACCTAAATATCCACCAGCTGCTGAACTGATGAACAAAATGTGGTCTATACATACAATGGAATACTATATAGTAGTAAAAAAAAAACGAACTCCAACTTTATACAGCAACATAAATGAATTTTTCAAATTATATACATATATATATATATTTTTTTGAGATGCAGTCTCCTTCTGTCACCCAGGTTGGAGTAGAGTGCCGCGATCTCTGCTCACCTCAAACTTTGCCTCCCAGATTTAAGCGATTCTCCTGCCTCAGCCTCCCTCCTGAGTAGCTGGGATTACAGGCGCAGCTAATTTTTTATATTTTTAGTAGAGACACGGTTTCACCACGTTGTCCAGGCTGATCTCAAAGACCTGACCTCAAGTGATCCGCCCATCTCGGCCTCCCAAAATGTTGAGATTACAGGCATGAGCCACTGCGCCTGGCCTTAAAAATAGTATTGAGTGGTCCGGGTGTGGTGGCTCACGCCTGTAAGCCCAGCACTTTCGGAGGCTGAGGCGGGTGGATCACCAGGTTGGGAGTTCGAGAACAGCCTGACCAACATGGTAAAACCCTGTCTCTACTAAAAATACAAAAATTAGCCAGGCGTAGTGGTGCACACCTGTAATCCCCGCTACTCAGGAAGCTAAGGCTTGAACCCGGGAGGCAGAGGTTGCAGTGAGCTGTGATCACGCCACTGCACTCCAGCCTGGGCAACAGAGCAAGACTCCATTTCAAAATAAATAAATAATATTGAGTGAAGAAATCAAGTTGCATAAGCAGCATAAAGAATGAAGTTATACAAATTTATAGAGAAAGAAAGTAGATGAGTGACTGCCTAGCTGAGAAGAGGCTGGGAGGAAATGGCAAGTGACTGCTAATACAGATGGAGATTCTTCATGGGATGAGGAAAACGTTCTAAAATTAATTCTGGTGATAGCTGCACTCTGTGAATATATTAAAAATCATTGAATCATATACTTTAAATGGGTCAACTGTATGGTATGTAAATTGTATCTCATAAAGCTGCTAAAAAATAAGAATGATATAATAAAAGAAGTAGAACTAAATATATTGGCCAGGCATGGTGGCTCACACCTATAATCTCAGCACTTTGGGAGGTCAAGGAAGGCAGATCACCTGAGGTCGGGAGTTCAACACCAGCCTGACAAACATGGTAAAACCCCATCTCTAGTAAAAATACAAAAAAAAATTAGCCAGGCGTGGTGACATGCACCTGTAATCCCAGCTACTCGGGAGGCTAAAGCAGGAGAATCTCTTGAACCCAAGAGGTGGAGGTTGCAGTGAGTCAAGATGGCACCACTGCACTCCAGCCTGGGTGACAGAGAGAGACTCCGTCTCAGAAAAAAAAAAAAAAGAACTAAAGAATATATTATTATGTAGAGTCATGTACATATATGGTAAAATTAAACAGGAAAAGAGGCAGGGCACAGTGGCTCACTCCTATAATCCCAGCATTTTGGGAGGCAGAGGTAGGCAGATCGCTTGAGCCCAGGAGTTAAAGACCAGCCTGGGCAACGTGGCGAAAACCCCATCTCTACCAAAAATACAAAAATTAGCCATGCATGATGGCACATGCCTATAATCCCAGCTACTAGGGAGGCTGAAGTGGGAGGATTGCTTGAGTCCAGGAGGTGGAGGCTGCAGTGAGCTGAGATCGCACACCTGCACTCCAGCCTGGATAACAGTGAGACACTGTCTCAAAAAAAAAAAAAAAAAAGGAAAGAATCAACACAAAAAATCGCATTGGCGTTTGTCCCTCCAGGAATGAGAAAAGAGGGACAAGGCTGCTGTGGGGCACAGAGGTGGCTTCAGAGACCCTGATCATTTCTACTTCTTAGGCTGGGTGATGGGTGCGTGATTATTAATTTTGTTATTACGTTTTATACTGAAATATAAACATCATTGTATTCATCAAAAATTCCATAACCAAATAAATTTTAAATATTCCCTTCTTCTTAAGCATTTGTCTAAAGTTCATTTAAATAAATAATTTAAATGAAATTATTTGCCAGTAAAACATTCTGTTATTTGACCATTTGTAGATATGAATGTGTGAGGGAGTCTATTCATTTTGTGTGTGTGTGTGATATTCTGAGTTACTAGACAATTCAAACAATTCCACCTTTTAAAAAACAGTACAACATGTTTTTAATTGGGAAAATCATATATGCTTTCAATTAGCTATTCACAGTTGAAGTAACCCTGTTTTTCCTTTATACAACTGTGCTGAGTTATACAGAAAATGCATTCTGAAGACAGAGATTTACCTGTTTATCATTAATAGAGTGCATTTCAATTTCTTTCTTTGCTTGCAGCAGCTTATCCTGAAAGCAATACAGAACAGTTAGTCCTGGCGATTGTCTATATGCATGTCTGTTTATTGTCAAGGAAAGAAAACGAGCAATTATTTCTATGTGTATGTATGAAATTCCAGAAAACACACAAAACAGTATCTACATTGCATAGACAGACTGGGCCACAGCCTACAGAAGAAAGAAGATGTGAAGTATGCTAAGCTACAAATAAGTGATAATAAGTTTGAAAATTAATTACAGAGAATGATAATAGAAAAACCGACAAACCTCAAAACCCCAGTTAACAGTACTCATTGCTGAGGCCAACTCTACAGTTCTAATAAATGTCTTATTATTTAGTTGTGATATAAGAAAAGAACAACTCTATTAATATGCAGTGCTCCCCAAAGTCGAGGGTATGTGTGACTCCCTGTCAACAGTGCTTTTTGTCCAATATTTTCTTCTATTATAAAACCAAACATAGCAAGAATCACCTTCTGGATAGACTGGGTAAACTAGGCCTGGCTACTATAAAATAGTCTTAAGCAAGGTTACCCGTGTAATTGTGTAATTCTTCCAAGGTCCTAATTTTTTTTTGTTTTACTTAATCCCAAGAAAACAGGTATCAGATTATAGTTTCTTAATTTGCTGTTAAAAGTAACTTAAATAATATCATGCAATAGAGAGGAACCAAAGTGTAAGCGAAATCTTCCAAAAGGTAATGCAGGGTTTCTAAACCTGAATATATCTATAATGAAATAATATTGTCCTACGACTAAAGATACATACAGCTTGACTTTGCAAAGACTGGAATTAAAAATTACATTAGAAAAGAAAGAATTTTTTAGCCAGGCATAGTGGCTCACCCCTGTAATCCCAGCACTTTGGGAGGCCAAGGTTAGTGGATCACCTGAGCTCAGGAGTTTGAGACCAGCCTAGGCAACAGAGCGAAGCCCCATCTCTACCAAAAATACAAAAACTTAGCCAAGCGTGGTGGCGAGCACCTGTGGTCCCAGATACTCAAGAGGCTGAAGTGAGAGGATTGCTTGAGCCTGGGAGGCAGAGGTTGCATTAAGCCGAGATTGTGCTACTGCACTCCGGCCTGGGCGACAGAGTGAGGCCAGGTGCAGTGGCTCACGCCTGTAATCCCAACACTTTGGGAGGCCGAGGCAGGTGGATCACTTAAGGTAAGGAGTTTGAGACCAGCCTGGCCAACGTGGTAAAACCCCGTCTCTACTAAAAAAAGAAAAAATACAAACACACACAAACACACACACACACACACACAAATTAGCCACGTGTGGTCACACACACCTGTAATCCCAGGTGTTCTAGAGGCAGAGGGTACAGTGAGCCAAGATCGCGCCACTGAACTCCAGCCTGGGTTACAGAGCGAAACCGTGACTCAAAAAAAAAAAAAAAAAAAAAAAAAAGAATGGATTACTCAACACCACAGGTTCTTCATTCAGCTCATTCATTTCTAGCAATGCAAAGGCCCCATGTGAGCTCCTGAGGGCCTGAAATGCTGGCCTTCTCTGCCTCCACTTTTATTTACTTCCATCAAAACTGGTGTTTAAAACTCACAAAATGCCATTTCATTAAATTTGTGTTTTCATTTATGTAAAGTGGCTTCAATGACAAAGCAAATTCACTGTTAGAAAAGTCAAGCTATAAATATAAGGTAGCTAATTTTGCCGTTCTTGGTTTGTAAAAGAAATTACAGACGTCCAGGCCAGGCGTGGTGGCTCACACCTGTAATCCCAGCACTTTGGGAGGCCGAGGCAGGCGGATCACAAGGTCAGGAGTTCGAGACCAGTCTGGCCAATATGGTGAAACCCTGTCTCTACTAAAAATATAAAAATTAGCCAGGCGTGGTGGTGCGCACCTATAATCCAAGCTACTCAGGAGGCTGAGGCAGGAGAATCACTTGAACCTAGGAGGCAGAGGTTGCGGTGAGCCGAGATCATGCCACTGCACTCTAGCCTGGACAACTGAGTGACATGCTGTCTCAAAAAAAAAAAAAAAAGAAAGAAAGAAAGAAAGAAATAATAGAGGTCCAAGCCTAAGTCTGAGACATTATTTAAATTTTCCCCCAAGGCCCTTCCTGGCCTGCCATTCTTACTGGGTCCTGTCCAGCCCTCCACCCACTTGAGCAGTTACCATACTATCACCCTCCTTGCACATGGGTGAGTCCAAGATCCCCACAGAAGTATGCCATGCTGACATTCCCAGGCTCTCCATCATTCCTCCCTTCATTTCTTCATTCAACAAACATGTCTGAGCACGTGCTATGTGCCAAGCACTATGCCAGGCATAGAATTGCAGCAGCGGACGAGCCAGCTCTGAGGTCACTTTCCTCCAGTCCCCACATGGGGAGCAAGAGGACGTCATGACAGTTCACGTGCACACAGTGTCACTGCTTTGTGCTCTAAAAACAACTTTGGCAAGACAAAAACAAGCCCTGACAAAAAATAAAAACAGATTCTGTGTTGACTTGATACAGAAAAACACATTTTGCTAAACTTCTAGGGAGGGACAAGGTTCCTCTATGGTGTCTACATTTCACTAAAGATATCTATCATGTCTTAAGCAAATCATAGGGAAAAATTATAGAGAAACACCTACACACCTTCAGGTATCAGCTCCAGAATCACTGCTTCCAGCACTTTAGGCCTGGCCGAGGGCCCTCCCTGGCATCCTATGGCCAGGTGTGCTCCTTAAACTAGACCTTGGCCTCTCCCACCTCAGGATCTGCACTATCTATGACGTTGTCGCCTAATATGCCAATGGTACTAAATAAATACTTGTGGGGCCGACCTGATTTCAATAGAGAAGTGTTTGGCCTAAATACAAGAGAGAATCAGTAGTTCAAGAAACACGTCTCACACCAAGGAAGAAGCGCTTTCTAGGTGAATGCTAAGACGTTTAGCACAGCCTCTTTGACTAATTTCAAGTTGAAGAAGTCAGTCAGTAATAATGAACCTAGAAGCCTCACCTCATTTCGTGCAACCAGAGTTATAAAGGCTCCTTGTTTATAGCACTCAATGGCAATGCACTTCCCGATGCCACTGGAACCTCCTGTAACCTAAAACAAAATCATAAAATATTCTTAGCACTTGAAATCTCCCCTCTGTAGGAAGTTTTTTTATAAAAAAACAACTATGACAGGCTCCTAAAATGAATCTACAAGAACTAAATGGTTAGCTGTTGTAACTTCTTCATCCCAAACTTAATGACTGGAGTAAGTGTAAGCATGAAAGATACTATCAGCAAGGCCTGCTGCTTTGACTGTTTTCTTATTGAACCATAAATTGCACACCTATAATATTTTTCTGAATTCACTGGTGGAAAAGTGCCCTATAAATGTAGCTCATAAATGATATATTAGTCTGCCTCTGATTCCAAATCCAAATGAATCTTATTTCCTTAATGCACCTTTATGTAAGATTAGCTCTACAACAGATGAAAAGAATGGCCACTTGCATATATATTTGAAATGGCTGCTTAGTATAAAAGTAATATACAATCACAAGGAAACTCTGAAAAGTAAAGCTCTTCTTGCCCTACTGTACCCCTGTCTACAGTTCAGCTATACCAGTTGTCTTTCAATTCCATGCACCCTCCAACCACAGTATCTTTGCATATCCTACTTCCCTTGCAAAGAATGCTCTTCTCCCCACTTCATCTGACACCTACTCGCCCATCAAATCTCAGCTCAAATATCACTTCCTCAGGAAAGCCTTCACTGTCTGCCCTGCCCCCACACTGACACACTTTTCAGCACTATGTTTCTTCTTTATGACATGTACATGATAAACAGCTCTAGATTTGTGTGATTATCTGATTCACAACCATCTCTCCCATCACCTACTCATAAACTCCATTAAAACTCCATTAAAAACACCAATTCTTTTTCTGTTCCCCACTATATTCCTAGCACTTAGCATGGGGAGGGCTCAATATATATTGTATATTTCACCGAGTAAGTGAACAATGCAACATTATCTTTCTTTCTTTTTTTTTTTTTTTGAGAGAGTCTTGTTCAGTCACCCAGGTTGGAGTGCAGTGGTGCGATCTCTGCTCACTGCAACCTCCACCTCCTGAGTTTAAGCGATTCTCCTGCCTCAGACACCCAAGTAGCGGGGATTACAGGCGTGCACCACCACGCCCAACTAATTTTTGCATTTTTAGTAGAGGTGGGGTTTCACCATGTTGGCCAGGCTGGTGTCGAACTCCTGACCTCAAGTTATCCACTCTCCTTGACCTCCCAAAGTGCTGGGATTATAGGAGTGAGCTATCGCACCCAGTCATATCGTTCTAGTCACTGTCCCATGCAAATTACATAATATTGCATAGTATTGTATACTGTTTTTTAAAAATTATAATATGTCAAAAAACGAAAAGGCTTCACAATATTGCATCAAAACTTAAACATTTCCCTATAATCAGACATTTAGATTATTCCTAATATTCACTGTTATACATAAATCATGCTGGGAGGAAAATCTCTGACTCCATGTTAGGATTTTAACATCATTGGGAAGTGTCTCCCACGCAAATGCACCTATCTCTATGGGACTCATTGGCATCCCTTACTTCTTTTTAGCTTCAACCTGCCACCACTGAAGAGATTTATTTGGCAGATAAACAGCCGGTTATCAGCAGTAGATTACTGTAAAAATATAGCTGTTGTTGGCCGGGTGCAGTGGCTCACGCCTGTAATCCCAGCACTTTGGGAGACTGAGGCAGGTGATTTTCTGCTTTTTTTCTGCAATTTTATTACTGTAACTAGATAGATAACACTAGTATATAAAATTGTTCTAAAAATGAAACAATTGTTATAAGTTTGTTCTTAATTATGTACAGTCTAACCATCAGCCCCCTCTCACAATACCGCCCAGTCAACTCCTAACAAATCTCAAGAACAATAATTACACTTTTCACTCTTCTTATGACATTAAAAAAGACAGATGGTGACACCATGAGAATCATTCGTGTCATTCTCACATTATTTAGAGTCTGAAATAATAATCCTGCGTATTAAAGCAGGATGGTAAAAATAAGAAATTCTTCTTGGTCCACCTGAACAGACACAGCATTTATTATTTCACCTACGACCTGCCGCGGGATGGGGTTGGAAGGACTGGAGCCAAGGCTCAGTGAAACTGTCTTACAAAGAAGGAATTCCAATTTTCATTTTGCGTTTAACTTTACTTTTTGCAAAGTTATGCTCTATAAACACAAGCTCTGAAAGGATCCAACGTTTAAAGCCATGCTTTTGAGGCAGCAGTTCTCTTGTGGATGTAAAACTTTCAGAATTTAGCGTGTCAAGTTTTGCCTTTCTCCTTATTTGTTTTTTGTAATGAATCCACACTCTTTCCCCATTAGGAACAGGAGGTGTTGGAAAAAGCTAATAGCTTTACAAAGGATAAATTAAAGAGATACATTTTCGCATTCACAAACCCTTCTACAGATTTAAAGTACACTAAGAGAAATGACCATCTTATCTTACACCAGCTCAGCAGGGAGGCTCGGATCTCCGGTGCAGAGATAGGACAGGAAGAGGTGTGCGGCCAGCTTTGTAATCAACCCTCCTTATTCCTAACTCCCCGATTCACTATGCCTCGGGATTGGGAGATCTAAACAAGAAAGCTGGTGAAAAAGCCACTGCAAACGGGGAAGTGCTTGGCGCAGGTAAGGAGGCATTCTCTCTGTTTAAGAAAGGTGCCACATTTGCAGAACAGGGATCGCTGAATATGCGAGCTTCCGCCAAGAAACAAAAGACACCCATCCACCTCTCCTTCATTCCTCGCACACTAGCCCTGTCTTTTAGCTCATCCTTCCCACTAGGAAACAGCAAAGGATTGCATTGGAGCAGCAATCAGCAGATGCCACGCTGAGCTCAGAGACAAGCAGTGTAGACGGGACAGGCGTCCCAATACCGCTAAGCCACCACCGCCAGCCCGCTGGGTTCTGAGCAGTTTCCCCAGGTGAGTCACTTCCTGGAATCCTCTGGCAGCGGCTCTTCTAGTCACTCGCACAGGCCATCTTCCAGTTCCGAGCTGCCTCGGCGGGTCCCGGTGGCTGGGACCCCACCTCCCAGCTGTTTGCCCCCGCCCGGGACCGTGCGCGGTCCACCGACCCCTGTGTTTTGGCAAAGTTTCTCTGCCTCTCTGTGCCTCAGTTGACTCATCGGAAAAACTGAGGACAAAACATCCACATCCCAGGGATGTTGCGTGGATTCACGAGCAGCCACCGAACCCCTGGGCCCCGGGAACCCTGCGGCTGGCGCGGTCCCCCGTCGCACGCTCTCCCGCCCTAGGAGGAGCCCGAGGCAGTGGAGGGCGGGTCCGCGAGGCCGGGTGCCCGGGCCGGGGCGAAAGCGCCGGGGTGGACGGCGGCAGGTGACCTTCCCCATTTGGCCATGCCTTCCTGGGGACCGCGGCCTGGAAAAAGGGACGCAGGCGGCGCGGCCTGGGCGGCAGAAAGGCCGCGCGGGCCGGGAGGTCGGGGCGCAGCAACAGGAGGCCACTCACCACCACATGCGCCCCGGGCAGGGCGAGGGGCTTGGGGCTGATGAGCGGAGACACCATGTAGAGCAGCAGCACGAAGGCCACGAGAAAGGCGGCAGCCAGCAGCAGCATCGCTCCGCGGGGCCAGGGGCCCGGCGCGGCCGGGCGGGGGGCGCCAGGCGGGGCGCGCAAGGCTGGGCGGCGGCGAAGCGAGAATCACGCGCGGTGGGCGGGCGCCTGGAGTGTTTGGGTTTGCGGGCCAGGGCGGGCCGCTGCGGAGGGGAAGAGGAGGAGCCGGCGCGGGCACCACCCAGGCGGGGCGGTGCTTCCAGGGGGCGCGTAGGCCGCCCCCGCCGCCACCTCCGGAATCGCCTCTGAGGAGTCGCCGGGTGTCTCCCACCACCACCCCCTCGGGACCGGGCCCAGAGTCCGCAGCCTCTCCCGTGGAAACCGGGCCTCCCGTCCCTGAGCGCTGCGAGCGGGCTCTGGGCAGCGCCAGATGCGAGCGCTCCGGGAAGGGCTGCGAAGACTGGCTCTTCGGGGGCTCGAGTGGCTTCTTAGGACCCCGCAGGGCGGGTTTCCAGGCCTGCCACGGCCTCCAGTGTGGGCGTGACGAGCGCTCCTCCCCGGAGTTCAGCCCTCGGCTTGGGACCACCCGCCGGGATGCTCGGAGGCCCTGGGGCATCGGAAAGGGCGGCTGGAGGCTCCCGGAGCCGGATCAGTCTGGGAGCCCGGAGACTACGCTCTGAAATTCCGGGCTCCATTCCGTATTTTCTTGGCGTTCTTGGAAGATGGTCACAGCCCACTTTCGCTTTTCAGAGGACCTGAAAGCCTTAACCGGGAGTTCTGAGAAATCACCAAAGTAATTCAATTTCATTGAGTTCAGAGTTCATTTTTACCAAGCAGGTTCAAAACAAATAAACAACAAATGCAAACAACTCAGCTTTATTAAAGTCTCATTCACATACTATAGCTTACAATTCCCGATTTAAAGTGCATGATAGGCCGGGCGAGGTAGCTCACGCCTGTAATCACCGCCCTTTGGGAGGCCAAGGTGGGCGGATCACTTAAGATCAGGAGTTCGAGACCAGCCTGGCCAACATGGTGAAACCCCGTCTCTACTAAAAATACAAAAATTAGCTGGGCATGGTGGCATACGCTTGTAATCCCAACTACCTGGGAGGCTGAGGCAGGAGAATCGCTTGAACCCGGGAGGCAGAGATTGCAGTGAGATCACTCCACTGCACTCCAGCCTGGGCGACAGAGCAAGACTCCGTCTCAAAAAACAAAAAATAAAAATAAAGCTCATAATAAATTGTTTTTAATATAGTCACAGTTGTGGACCCATCACTACCATAAATTTTAGAACATTTTTGTCACAACCCCCCAAAATCCTATACTCATTAGCAGTTACGACCCATTTCCTCCCAAGCCTCGCCCAAGCCTAAGCAATCCCTCATCCTTTCTGTCTCTATAAATTTGTCTATTCGGGATATTTCACATAAATGGAATCTCATAATGTGTAGCCGTTTTCATCTTATCTTTCACTAACTATAATGTTTTCAAGGTTCATCCATGCTATGAACTACATGTTAATACTTCATTTCTTTTTATTGCCAAATAATATCCCATTATATGACTATACCACATTTTAACTTTCCACTCATCAATTGAGGAATATTTAGGTTGTTTCCACTTTTTGACTATTAGAATTATGCTAACTGTAAATATTCATTTATAGGTTTTTGTGTGGGCATATGTTCCATTTCTCTTGGGTATATGCCTAGGAGGGGAATTGCTACATCTTATGGCAACTCTATGTTTAACTATTTGAGGAACTGCCAGAATGTTTTCCAAAGTGACTACAACATTTTGTGTTCCCACCAGCAGTGTATGTGGGTTCCAATTTCTCTACATCTTCACTAACACTTGTTATCATCTGTCTTTCTGATTATAGCTTTTTTAGTTGGTGCGAAGTCTCTTTGTGATTTTAATTTGCATAGAGGCACATATTTTTGTTTGCTTACTTGCTTTTCATTTTTGTTGTTTCTAGAAATACTAGGGAGCTAAGGAGAAAAAAAAGTTTTTGTTTTTCTTTTTTTCTTGACTTAAGCAGAGTTAGCCAAACTGCAAAATTTGAGGGCATAGTGTCCAAGACTTCTGATGTCAATGCAAGTTTAGAGGTTACAGAACCACCCTCAGGTTTGATAATTCACTGGAAGAACTCGCAGAACTCACCGAAAGCCATTATGCTCATAGTTATGGTTTGTTATGGGGAAAGAATACAGATCAAAATCAGCTAAGGAAAGAAATGCCTAAGGCAAAGTCTGGAGGGCTCCAAATGCAAAGCTTCTGTTGTCATCTCCCATGGAGTCAGGCTGTGTTACCTTCCCAGCATTGGTATGTGACAGTATGCTTGGAGCATTGCCAACCAGGGATGCTTGCCTGAGCTTCTGTATCCAGAGTTTTTATTGGAACTCCAGCACATAGGCTTGATCAGTCGTCCACTTGGTTGAACTGAGACTCCAACTAGACTGATAGTGCATGACAAAAGCCCCCACCTAATTCACATGCTTGGTCTCTCTGGAATGCCCAGTCTCCACCCTAAAATCCAGTTTGCCCACTCCCCATCTAAACAAAGACACTCCTATCAGGTATGACATAGATAACCTCCCAGAGGCCAAGGGCAAAAGTCAACTCTTCTCTTTGGGCAAGACTGAATCCTTTACAACATGGCTGCCACCTGCTTTGGCCAAAGCTCTCTTACAGTAAAATGAACATGTCTGACATTTGAAGGAGCCAGTGTAGAGCAGGAAGCTTTTAACTCAATTTCTCAATAAATTTGGCCATCAGTGTGAATATTATAACCTCACTTACAGTCCCAGAGTTACACTGTTTATGATATGGTAGTAAACATAATTTGAAAAATTAGAGTCAAAAGCTAGTGGCAGATAGATACAAGAGTTCTACTCTGCCATCAACAAGTGCTCCAGTTCATCATCGTATTGTATGACCAAAATGTCTCCCAGAGAAATGCCACTCAGGCTTGAAGGTTCCCATTTGCTATCAGTTTCCAAAAACGGAAGTGGCCTTCACCCTTTCAGGTACCAGACTGTCTTTTTAACATGTTTTTGTCCACCAAGTAGCCTATAGTTTTTAATATTAACAACTTGCATGAGCTCAGCAATCTTACTGGTTCCCATTTAGCATGTCCAATCAATATTGTCTGAAGGGCAGATCCACCTGTCTTGTGTTTTACATTACTAGATAAAGGAAATTTTCCTCAGGCAATATCCATTCCCATAGTACATTCATGTTAAGGGGATGCAACCACTCCAAATAGAGTCTGTTCAGACATTCCAGTTTTTATCCAAACTTTCGCGTTAATCCCATCAAATGTATTTTCATCTTTCCAATCTAACTGTCGCCTTGGTTAGAATCTCACTAACAGAAAAACAGTGCATGGGGCTCCATGTCAAAGAATTTTAGAAATGTTTCTTTTCCACCCCTGACTATTTACCCATTCATGTACATTTGGTCTTGGACCCCAGCCAGAGATTAGGCCAATGGGCCTTGGTTCTTTCTTCAGTTTTTGTTTGTTTTGTTTTGTGTGTTTGTGTGTGTGTGTGTGACGGAGTCTCACTCTGTTGCCCAGGCTGGAGTGCAGTGGCATGATCTTGGCTCACTTCAACCTCCACCTCCTGGTTCAGGCAATTCTCTTGCCTCAGCCTCCTGAGAAGCTGGGATTATAAGCATGCACCACCATGCCCGGCTAATTTTTGTATTTCAGTAGAGACGGGGTTTCACCATGTTGGCCAGGCTGGTCTCAAACTTCTGACTTCAGGTGATCCACCCACCTCAGCCTCCCAAAGTGCTGGGATTACAGGCATGAGCTACCCACCCGGCCTTTCTTCAGTTCTTATCTTGACTACATTGTGTATCTTCCACCCCAAGTGATTGGAAGTCAGGTTTCTCATAGTCATCTTTGCTTTGCAGCTTTTAAAATTTATCCAAACTAGGTTGAACAAAGTGGATTTGTTGAGCGCCCTTCAATGTTGGGGGACTAGTAAGTAAGGGTTTCCTTTTGTCCATCGAACTTCTGAGAGTGCTGCATTTTAAGACTTTTGTTTCAACACCACCAATGCCCAGTTTATTTATGATATTTCTTAATAACTGTTTTAAATTTTCTATCCATTCTCTCTCCCTTTTCTGTTTCCTTAGTCTCTTGGAATAAGTCTGCTCTCTGTTGTTTTAGCATAACTTTTCCCGTTGGAGGTGGCCCTGAACTAGCAGCTGTGGCTCAATGGCTAGAATTCCAGCTTGGCCCAGCATCAGGTTCTGCCCCAACACTATCCCTATAATTTAGCTATTACAGATAATAACAATCAAGAGATTCCATGTTCAGCTTTCTGATGTCATTGTTTCTTTGCATTTATTTTGGCCTCCAATGAGTGAGACCCCGTGATTTCTAAATTCCATTGGTAAATCTTACTTCAAGTAAGATAAGTAAACCCCATGACTACCTGGGGTTTATTTCAAGGAGGCAAGACTGTTTCAATATTTAAAATTCAATCAGTATAATCTATCATATTAACAGGTGAAAGAAGGAAAATCACATGATCATATATCAATCAATGTAGAAAAGGCATTTGACAAAATTTCACACCCAGTCATAATTAAAATTCTCAGAAATATAAGAATATAGAGGAACCTCCTCAGCTTTATGAAGAACATCTGTAGAAAAACCTACAGCTAATGGTGAAATATTGATGCTTCCTCCATAAGATCAAGGACAAAGCTAAGAAACTTGTTCTCATCACTCTCATTCAACAGTCCTGGAAGTTCTAGCCAGATCAATAAGGCAAGAAAAGGAAGTAAACATAATACAGATAAGAAAGGAATAAGTAAAACGACTCCTACTTGCAGATGGCATGACTGATGATGCAGAAAATCCCTAAGAATCTTGAAAAAAGAAAAAAACCTAGTAGAATTAAGCAACTCCAGCAAATTTGCATAATACAAAAATAAAATTCATTGTTATATACTAGCCATGAACTTGTGGACACTGCAATTAAAAATATGATTTCATTTATAATTTCTGAAATAAATGAAATAGATGTAATGTAACAAAACATGTACAGGACTTGCATCTTGAAAATTGCACAATGCTTATGAAAGAAATCAAAGATCGAAATAAACCGACATACTATGTTCATGAATTAGAAGACTCTGTAAAGATGTCAATTTTTTTCCAAACTGATGTACTATTTTAGTGCACTGCCTATTCAAAC